GAATCCTTGAAAGAGCAAATAAATACGTTTTCATTTCAACAACTGAAGATGGTAGAACAAATGACAGAAAAAAGCAGTATTTGTCATGCCTCTTGGCATTCTAGCTCAGTAATTTACTCTGTAGTATACCACAGTAAATCAGATCTGGTTCTGCATTCTAGTCCCTGGTTTATTCTTATATGAGGTAAAAGCTGAAAAGCTGTGGGGACTTTCCCTGGAAGTTTCTAGAAATAGCCTGTAAAGAATCTGGCCAGATTATTATTAGTAAATTGATTTAATGTCTTCTTGGAAACAGGTCAATTATACAATAGAAATAAATTAGAGGAAAGGCTGCCAAAGGATTCCTGAAGAACACAGCACCCTAAAAAGCATGGAGAGACATCATATCATCAATGATCTTTCAAAATCTTGAAACTGACAACAGAACAAATTACTTGATTACTTTCTGGGAATATAGTCCAAAATTACAATTTCACAAGGAACAAATGGAACTTGTTTGGCTCAATGAGAAAGGAAGCTACATGTTCCTAATAGTTCCAAGAGATATTAAGAATGTAATAATCACTCTTTGATTTATGAATTGCAACTTGAATGTCCCTGATTTGAGTCTGTATTCTAAATCACACCTGCGTGATTTGGGGGAGTGTATTGTCTTTCTATCGCTGTCATTGCAAAGTTGAAAACGACAATCATGAGCAGAATTATCTCATGATTCTATAGGTTGCAAACTTGGGCTGGGGTCCATCAGGTCTATTGTAACCACCCCTGGGGTTCCCAGATGGCTCCATTCACACAGTGGGGAGTCAGCTGATGACAGCTTCAGCCTGCCCCTCTCTCTTCCATGTAGCCTCTTCCTCACAGAGGCTAACCTGAGGCTGTACCCCAAGCAGCAGGGTTATGAGCATATGAAAGCAAAAAGTATAAACCCCTGGAGATTGAGACTTAGAAACAAAAACAAAAAAGTCCCTCTGTCACATTCTGTTCATCAGAGTGTGCGGTAAAGCCAACCCAGACTCAAGAGGAAAGGAAAGAGATACCTGTTCATAGGAGTAGCAGCAAAGAAGTTGTCACAATTTTTAATCCATTCCAGAAATAAGCATCACCTTGATGTAGACATAACCTAAATGCAATGTTTCTAATTGTTTTCTTTTCCTCCATCCTTCCATTCCAGTATCTCTTTCCTAGGTCAGCTGACTGATGATGCCCTCTTACGGAATGGCCATTTCTCTTTTCTTTTCTTTCCTTTTCTTTCAGTACATGGGTTTAAACTCAGGGCCTTGAGATTGCTTGATAGGCACTCTACCGCTTGAGCCATGCCCTCAGCCTTTTCACTTTAACTTGTTTTTCAGATAGGGTCTCATGCTTCTGCTCTGACCAGCTTCAGATGCAATCCTCCTACCTCCACCCCCCAATAGCTGGAATTACAGGTGTATACCACCACACTCTGTGTGTTTTTTGAGATAAGGTCTCACTAAACTTTTTGCCTGGCTTGATCTTGAACTACAGTCCTCCCTTCCCTGCCTCTCAAGTGGCCAGATTGCAAACATGAGCAACCACACCTGGCCCCATCCATTTTTCTTGAGTAGACAGCCTCTGCCTCTCCAGTCACAAGACTATTTTCTTTCTCTCTCTCATTATTGTTTTTATCCTATTCTCTGTTCCTTCCCTTGTGGTTCTCCATTTCTTATTAAACACATCATTCTAATACTCAGATATTTCTTGTTTGTCCAGTACCCTCTCTTGTTTTTCAAACATTCTGCCTTCTTGTTTTCACCATTTCATGAGCTTGTGTACATCTGTCTTGCTCAAATATTGACCCCTGCCATTCTCTTAGTTCAAAATATTTTCTTTCACAAAGATATCGATACACAAATATTTATTGAATGTTTACTGTGTGCAAGACACTTCCCTAGGCAATGGGACCAGATGTTCACAATCCCTTCTCAAGTGAGGGAGAAACAGTATATAAATATGCAAACAATAAAATAAGATAGCCAGTACATACCTGAAGGTTAAGATAATAAAACAAAGCATTTTCAGGAGTGATCTACAAGTAGTTCAGGTCACAGTAACTTCAGAGTCATCAGGGCCTTCTCCTCTGAGAAGTCACACTTTTTTGATGTATTACTTGTTTTCATTTTATTATTATATCATTGTTGTACTGGGGATACATTGTGACATTTACAAAAGTTCTTATAATATATCATAATTGAATTCATTCCCTCCGTCATTCTCCTTTGTCCTCCCTCCCTTATTAGAATAGTTTCAACATGTCTCATTTTGACATTTTAATACACAAGTATACAATATTTCTACCATATTCACCCTTTCTTTATATCCTCCCCTCTCCCACAGACAGGACCTATTTTATCTTCCTGTCCTCTGTTTTTTTGATAAAAAAGACATTTTTGTTTTCTTAAGATAGCTATACAGGGAGTTTCATTATGGCATTTCAATGTATATATGTATTATATCCTGAATTAGAAGTCACACTTGAACATTTGACCTGCACACCAATAACCAGGTGGGTAAAGAAGAAATGTCCTACATAGAGGAGATACAAACAAAACGGCCTCCTCCAGCTCCTTACTTTCCTTAGCATTGACATCCCTGTCACCACAGCTAGTGGTTCTAAGCCCTAACTATGAGACTGATGCATCCAGAATCTTTAAATTACTGATGCCGGGTGCCAGTGGCTCATGCCTGTAATCCTAGCTACTCAGAAGACAGAGATCAGGAGGATCGTGGTTTGAAGCTAGCCCGGGAAAATAGTTTGCAAGACCCTATCTCAAAAAAACTCATTACAAAAAAGGGCTGGTGGAGTGACTCAAGGTGAAGGCCCTGAGTTCAAAACCCAATACCACAAAAAAAAAATACTAATGTGTGGACCTTACCATACACCCACCAAATCAGAATCTCAGGAGATGGAGAAGGGAAAGGCCCAGGCATTTACATTTCATGAACTCCCATGTGATTGTAATGCCCAGCCAAAGATGAGACCTCTGATCTCCACCGAGTTTTTCACACTTTCCTGTACATAGATCATATCTCCCAAAGCACAGCCTGAGATTTACAAGGCCTGGGGTAGAGCCCAAGACTGTATTCCTCTAATAATCTCCCAGTCGGTGCAAAGCCAGCTGCTCTGGCGACTACCCACATCATGGTGCACAGACCGATAGCATCAATGTCACCTGGAGCTTGTTAGGAAAAGTACATTATCAGCACAAAATCAGCAATCAGTGAATTCAATCACCTCCTAAATCAGAAAGTTGGCCTAGTCCACAGGGATTTCAAAAAGTCCTTTAGATAATTTTGAAGTCCACCAGATTTTGAGAATTAGATGTGGATCTCGATGTTTTTAGATATCCAGTTTGGCACTTAATTGTTACCTGTGTTGTATTTTCTATAGTTGTTTAATGTAGGTCTGTTGAAGTTTGCCCTGCACATGGGTATGAAACCATGATCTTGATTCCTTTTACTTAGTTCTAGGATGTAAGCATTCTCTTTCATTCTGGTTAGAAGAGAGACCCAGCCCTACCTCCATACCTCTGCTCCTGCCTCCAGAGTCTCTTGTTCACTCACTTGTAAAGCGTCAGGAGTGTGTGAAGCCCCACAGATGACGCTCCATGGCTGCAGGTGTCACCTGCAAGGAACTGATTTATTAAAAGTCCTGCTGGGGCTGTTTAGTCCCTGTGAAGGGAGCTGGTAACTCACCTCTAACTGTTGTCCTATCAAAAAAATCACCCTCTGTACTACTTCTCTTTGTTTACAAGCTTCTGTTAATGGCTTTTTCTCCATTAAACTGCTCATGGGAGTGCTATTTAGAGAACTAATTGAATTCTTGCCAGTTTTGGGCATGATCCAATACTGCTTCAGATCTCAGCATTCCCATGTTATATATTGCCCTCTCTTCTAACATGTATAGTTTTGATACTTCTGTCTACAGAATAGAAGACAGAAATGTAACTGTATACCTGGATTTATGCAAACCATAAACGTTGCAATATTTGCTCCTTGGCATGAAGATACACCTCATTACTCTGCTATGTAAAACTCAAAAGTGCAAAGTGAAAGATATATTTTTAAATCCAACCAAAGAATGGGCATATGCTCATTTTAAAAATTTCACTGCTATTTATGAGATTTATTTGATAATATACAGGCAAAAATTCATTTTTTCTTTCTACTGAGTCTACCACTAACCCCAATCTACCACTGTCAAGACTGAATAGTTCCTCTTCATCAAAAAGATTACAGATACTCTTGGTTACTTAAAGAATAAGCCTTTCCAGACTTATTTATCTACAAGACTGGATATGATTAATCCCCAAGGTAAGGATTTGTGAGGCCACATCTAATTACGAATGATAATGTGCTGAAGGCTAAGGAGGAAGAGTTAACAAATTAGTAAGAAAGTAAATAAATATCAAGAAAAGACAAATAATTATAAAAAGAAAAATTATTTCCTTTGACTTAAAAAATTCTGCTGAATATATAGCAAGTTAATAATTTGTATAACTTTTGATGTATAATACCTGACACATGTGTAGACCAAATCACCCTGCAAGGCAGTGTAAGGTGGCAGTGCGCATTGCCATATCTAGAACAATTTTGATGCACTGGAAATATTTCAGCCCCTGTTTACAGGTTTTCTATAGATTGCTCATGTGGGGATTTGGGTGTATTTATCATTTTATTTTCTGAGTCTTACCCTTCCTTTACTACTTTGCGATATACATCCCCCCCAAAAAAAAATTTTTGCTCTTCTATTTAGATACCCTCTTATCTCAGTTTCTGGGTGGCAGGCACACCGGCTCTTTTGTTACTCTCATTTTTTCAATTGTTGCCATCCATTTGATAGCATTAATTATCTGAGATGAGTAGCACCATCTTTCACAAAATTATGCTAGGGCCATAAACTATTTCATAGCTCAAGTCTTTGAACATCTGGCTGGGATCTTTGGCAGAAGTAAATGTTCTTTGTCATTTCCTTTTCACAGTTTGTGGAGATGAATGCACAGGCATTCTTCTCAATGACCTGGCTCGCCTGGAGCAGACGGCCATGAACGTCAACCTCACAGGCCCACTGCCTGCTCCGTACACACTTCTGTATGGCCTTGAAAATACAACCCAAGAGCTCAAGGTAGGTCGGTACTATAACAGCAGGGGCCAGGGCCAAGATGACAGATGTTTCCCAGGAGTGCTGGCCATAATTGGTACATGCTCTTTCCACTGCCCCAAATCAGGGAAGCAGCTGTTAGGGAGGTTCAGAGACTTTCTACATCAGTACTTTTCCAACTAGGGAACTGTAATATATGGAGCTCAATTAGAGGAAAAGAGAATCATATACCTCTTCCCACACACACATATACTGTTTGACCTAAATCAGTTTTATTATGTGACTTAAATATGTGCAAGCATAAAATCAGGTATGTACTCCTTATACTTATAGCTCCATAAAATCAAAACAAATTAATCCTTATAAAAGCCTAAAAAAACAATAAAATTCAAATTAAAAGCATTAATCTAGAGTAATATGATTTGGGCTGAAAGCAAATTGCTTTTTACAACAAGAATATGATATTGACTACTTCTCCACAGGTTCTTACCCCTACAGGTGACAAGTGGTAATTCATTTCTCCTACCTCCCTAAGGTTGAACTGGAGAGCACCTTATAAGGATTCCTAAAATGACACTTAGTGTCACTTGACAAGGGCATGTGACTTGTGCTCTCAATTTACCATAAGATCAAACACACATGCAAATGTAGACTCTGAGATCAGGTGGTGGTATCCATCTCTCAGATGCCTAGCCTGGGATTCAGGAGAGTTTGCATTAATATTTAAGGTTATTATCAAATAAAAAACCCAAGATTAAAATTTTGTACCACTTTGAAAGTACTTCTGCAAGCACCAGTTTGAGACACACTATTCTAAAACATTAAAGTTTTTGGTCCTTCATGAGAAAGGAAGTAAGTTTGTTTGGTTATTTTTTAAGGTGAGAGGTTAATCACATCTATCAGTCAATTATCCAGTATTTACTGAAAACTTATAGAATGTCTCAGGATTACACCTGGTTCCCTGGGGATTTCTTGACAGTATAGTATTGTTACTACCCTCAGGAAGCTTAGATTCTGTATGATTAAAACAACATTAAATAATAATTAAGCAATTAGCAAAAATACTTAATTGCTAAGTGCGTTATAAAGATATGAAGTACAATGGAATATAAATGTTGGAAAAATCAGTAAGATTCAGGGTAACTAGAGAACACACATTGATGAGAGTGTAATTTTGTTGGAACTTGAAGGGTAGACACCATTTTGTTTTGCGCTTTGAAGCAGGATCTTATTATGTAGACCAGACTGGCCTGAAACACAAGCTCCTCCTGCCTCTGCCTCCTGAATGCTGGGTACAGCTGTGCACCCCCATGCCTGACTTTGGAAACCATGTAACTAGGCAGAGAAATAGTGGTAAGGACTAGAGAAAGAAACCTAAGATTTATTCAGCAGGTGCTGGCAGATACTTTTATAGGGAATTTATTCCTTAATCCTGACCATAGCCATTAATTATCCCTATTTTTCAGAAGAAGAAACTAATGATAATAACAAGAATACTATTCTAAGTAACTAACAATAGTTAACAAGAATGATATTCTAACACTAACTCAATTTACTTAACAAAATGAAGTCTCACATAGATTATCCTACATAACCCTTACAGAAATGCCAAGAAGTAAGAAAGGAATTTTCATGGATTGAGTGTTTCTCTCCCGCAAAATTCATAGTTGAAGCCTTGTCTTAGTCTGTTTGGGCTGCTGTAACAAAATGCCATCACTGATTACCTTATAAACAATGGAATCTTATTTCTCACAATTCTGGTGACTGGAAAGCCCAAGATCAAGGCAGATTCCATGCTTGGTGAGGGCTCTTTCCTCATAAATGGTGACTTCTTGCTCTATGCTCATGTGGTAGAAGAAAATAGCTAACTTTCTGGGGTATCTTTCATAAAAGTGTTATTCCAACCATGAGGGCTCCACCCTCATTACCTAATCACTTCCCAAAGGCTCTACTTCTTAATATTGTTCTCTTAGGGACTAGCATTTCAATATATGCATTTGGGAGGGACACAAACATTCCTTAACCACAGCAAGTCCTAACCCCCAATGTGATAGTATTTAGAGATGGAATATTTGGCAGGTAATCAGGGTTAGATTAGTGCATGAGGATGAGCCCTCATGAAGGAATTATTCTTACAAAAATAAAAAGAGAAAGAGATAGCTTGTTTACCATTTGAAAACACAGGGAGAAGGCAGCCATGTGTAAGAGCTCACTAAGAACCACATCAGTGAGTAACTTAATCTTATACTTCTCAGCTTCCAGAAGTGTGTGTTTTGTTCAAGCCACCCACTCTCCGTTGTAGCAGCCCATACTAACTGAAACACAAATATCTTATTATCTATACTTTTTGAAAGGAAATTGAGTCACAGAGAAGTTTTGTTTGGGACACGTGGTTACATGGCTACAAAGCATGGAGCTAGTATCTGTATAGAAGCACTATAACTTTAGGGCCTGTGAGAATGAAACTATCTTTGCAAACCTCAGAGAGATAAAATAACTTACCTGGGAGGACCCGGTCAGCCAGTTTTGAGGCCCCCACCATACCTCCAGCTCAAGAATACTCTTGCCACAGGCACAGAGGATGAATTAGTCCTGCCTGGCAGACAGTAGAAGTCAGGTCTGCTAGTGAAAGATAAAGCCAGAGACTTGAGTGGAGCAATGAAATACAAAGGACAACCTTGAAAGCCAGGCAGAGGAATCTAAGTTTACTTCTTAGTCCCCTGGGACTCAGAAATATAAAGAGCTTTCACAAACAGTATGCTGACTAGTTATTTCCCATGTACACAGAAAGAATACAAAGAAAAGAAATTAAATTAGAAAAGCAAACATTTCAGTTGAGCATAAATTATTTTTAAAATAATAATTGGGCAATGGCCATGAAGTACAGATGGGACCTGGGGAAGAGGTTTACTTCTGAGCATTGATCAAAATGATCTTGCTGTTCTTTAAACTCCATTCTGACTTGATTCTGTGTTTATGTTCTTCTTTCATTATGCATCTATTATTTGGGTGCTTAGCACCCATTTTAATATTTTAAACTATTAAACAAATTATGTAACCTTTCTGCTGAGTTTCTTTCCTTGTGCCAGTTTTCCCTTGGCCCCAGCCAAAGACCACCAAGACCACACACATGATGGAATAAAGTTGAATTTATTAACTCATTGCAACTGTGGACACCATGGGGAGTTGTGGGGTGTCTCAGTTAGAGGGTACGAGGAATAATGTGTAGTATTTGTCCTTAGGCCTAGAAGAGTGGAAAGCAGGTTCCAAGAAGCGGGAGATGGCGCTTTCTTGTGCCATTAGGAAGTGGGAGTGGGTCTCTGGTCAAGTTTTCTAGTTAATATCACCTAGAAGGGAAGAGCAGAAGTCTAAAACTATGATTAGTAAAAAGGTACACTAACAGTCAGATATTAGCCAGGAAATGGGAGTTTGGAGTATTTTTGTGGCCCATACAGAGATGTGAATTGCCTGTCTTAGGAAAGGTTACAGAGTGACCTCCTTTTTCATTTTATTCATCATTATCCCAGAATGACCCTGCCTTATGATAGTGCCCTGGGAGACTGTTTATGTTCCACAGGAGGAGAACACAGCCCAGCTATGAGCCAAGCCAGCTCTACCAAGACTGAGGCCAGGCCAGGCCCCTTTGCCAAGGACTGCCTCTCTCCTTCTTACCCATAAAAGTTGTCTGTTGATTGGAATGGAAGCCTTAAGGAATCAGAAGTTTCACTGGCTATGTGATCTCCTTCAAATTTTTAACACTCCATAAGCCACACTCGTCCATTCACAAAATGGAATAACATTTACCTCATAGAGCTCTTATAAGAATTAAGTGTAAAAACAAAACAAAAAAGCTTCACACATTGTAATTTCTCAATAAATTACCACAATTTTTACTATTTGCCTGAATATTCAGCATGGCAGACAGAGGGGACAGTGGATAAGTGCTCACTTGAAATAGTTTCTATCTTTGGCGGTATTTTTTGTTTTTTTGAAAGCAAAAAAGCTAAATTCTTTGTACATAGGGAAAATGTGTTCTGTTCAAACCTATGATTACTCCAAAACCATTTACTAAAATATATATTGTGTGAAATCTTTTTCAGCACCTTCTCTCCCCTCAGCGAGCCCCAGAGAGACTCATTCAGTTGGCAGAGGGCAATCTGAATACACTCGTGATGGAAGTGAATGAGCTTCTGACCAGGGTAAGTTGACAAAATCATGAATCTCCTTAGAGCAGATAGACCTTAAGAAATTAATTCCCTGGACTGGGTGTAGTGGTGAATACATATAATACCAGCTACTTGGAAGTAGGAGGATTGTGGTCCAAGGCACACCCTAGGCAAAAGAATGAGATCCAACCTGAAAACTAAACTGAAAAAAACAAAAAGGGCTGAGGACACTTACCTAGTAAACACAAGGTCTTGAGTTCAAACCCCAGTAACACCCGCCAAAAAAATTTTTTCCTTAGAAATTAAGGAGTGTTACTTCGAGGTTCTGAAATGTTGTTCTTCCTAATTATAGAATTGATGCATGAAATAGGAATTAGTCTTACTAATTCTGCTTCAAATCAAATCTTAGAACATAGTAACCATGCCCCTTTCACCACCACCCCTCCAGGAAAAAAAAAAAAATGCAAGTTTGGGATACTTGGGAATGTCAAAGTCAAAAGCTAAAAGTATTAAAGTACTTTAAGAACTTTATCCAGTAGCTTGCATGGTAAAGTTTTATTTTTTTTTTAATCAATTCTAAGTTTCCAGTTCTCTGGCTTGATTATGTAGAGAAAAAGAAAAACAAATGAAAATACTGTGGTATCTTTGATCTCTTTGGAGCTTTGCATTTTTTGTAAAAATACAGCATAAATCAGTTACTCCTACACAAAAGAGGCAGTTTCTTTATTGTAAAATCCAAAACATTTAAGACACTTTAAAATCAGATTTTAAAATCCACATTGCATTTATCAGACTTCTTCAGCAATTGGTAGCTTTAAATTTTTTAAATTCTGAGAAGGTTAAGATAATTTTTTGCTGTTTGAGAATGAAGAAAACAACATAAGCCCGCCATCTTGTGGCCAGAAAAACACATGAAAAAGGAAACTGGCCTGTCACTTAGGAATCCACTTGATTATCTAAACTTAAGCTTTAAAAACGGAGAACACTGAAGCTAGAAGTTTCTTAGCGATTATCTAGCCGTTTTGTATTTTAAAGAAGACATGCTTCAAGCCATAATAGTGCAGTGAATTAACAATGGCTCTCCAGTTCCCTAAACTCAGGGACTTTCCAAAGCCCGGCTCCATTTCCACTGGCACGGTACTTTCACTACCTAAACTGCTACTGGATTAGGAAAATTTCCACAGAGAAATCAAATGGCTTCTGAGCACATAATGCTGAAAAAATGGCATATGGAATCTTTTATCACAAATCAGACCAGCAATAGAGAAAGCACAGCTACAAAGTAAAGCTTATGTCAAATGTATTTAGATGCTAAATTAGCATAACGAATATACAAATCTCATATTAATTTAAGAATTTTGGATTTGTTGCATGACTATTACTAAATAAAAGATTTTAAATGAGTTGTGGCAGAGTCTACTGTGTGTGTCTGTGTGCATAAGCATTTAGGTATATGGAGGATAGTATAAGAGAAATGCATGGAAATATATTATACGACAGAATAAAACAGATCAAAAAATGTATCTGAGAAATTCATACAAATGGAACAATTTCTTTTTTTCTTTTTTTATTGTTGTGCTAGAGGTATCTTGTGGCATTTACTAAAGTTCTTACAGTATATTGAATATATCATAGTTGAATTCACCCCCTCCATCATTCTCCTTTTTTCCTGCTTTCCCCCTTCCTGGAATAGTTTCAACAAGTCTTATTTTTCCTCCTTTCTGCCTTAGTACCCTTCTTATGGTGATTTCAACAGGTTTAAAAATTCTATATTCATTCTTACATAGGAAATACAAGGAAGTACCTTCTTAACTTCTTCTTTTACTCTCCCTCTCTTGTATGTGACCTTCCCTTGGTGTTACCTGTTTTTTATAATATTGGTTGTATTTGTATTAGGTCTATATTACACATGAGAGAAAACATGCGACTTTTGGCTTTCTGAACCTGGTTTTAACTTCACTTAAGGTGATATTCTCCAGTTCCATCCATTTACCTGCAAATGACAAAATTTCATTCTTCTTTATGGCTGAATAAAATTCCATTGTATATAAATGCCACATTTTCTTTATCCATTCATCAGTAGTCTGAATCGTATGGCAGTTCTATTTCTAGTTTTTTGAGGAGCTCCATACTGCTTTCCATAGTGGTTGTACTAATTTACATTCCCAACAGCAGTGTATGAGGGTTGTTTTCCCCCACATCCTCGCCAACATTTGTTGTTTGTGTTCTTCATGATAGCTATTCTAACAGGAATAATGTGGAATTTTAATGTGATTTTGATTTGGGTTAAAAATGGAACAATTTAATCTGGTTGGGGTAATTAGGAAAAATACCATGAAACAGGTGGCTTTTCATTCATTTATCTTATTCATTTAATTAATACTTATTGGGCACCTCCCATGGTCCAGGCACTGGGGCAGACACTGTGGGTACAAGAGGAAGATCTGGCCCCGCCTCTGCTCTCACTGAGCTTATTGTAGCTTGATGATTTGAGTCTATTTCACCAGAACTGTCAGATCTTTATTGTGTCTTAGCCCATGTGCTTTCATCTTTTGAGCAGACTCTCCATGCTAAATTTTTTAAATGAACTAAAATAGACTTTTTAAGAGAAGTTTAAAGTTCAAAGCAAAGTTGAGCAAAAAGAACAGACTTCCTACATGCCTTCTGCCCTCCCATATCCACAGCTGCCCACCCCCCTCATCTCCCCCATCAGACTGGTACATTTATCAACAGTGCATTGTTGTCACCCAAAGTCCATGTTTACTTTAGGGTTCACTCTTCGCATTGTGTATTCTATGCAATCATAATGGCATGAATCTGCCATTCTAGGATCCTGCAGAATAGTTTCACTGCCCTAGAAATCTTTTGTTTTTACCTCATCACCCATCCCTCTTCCCTAACCCCTAGCCACTATTAATCCTTTCACTATCTCGATAGTATGGTCCTTGCCAGAATGTCACACAGTATAGACTTTGTCAGGTTTCCCTTAGTAAGATGCACTTAAGGTTTCTCTGTATCCTTTTATGTCTTAATGGCTCAATTCCTTTTACTGCTGAAAATATTCCACTATCTGGAGGTATCACAGTTTATTTATCCATTCACCTACAGAAGGACATTTCGGTTGCTTCTAAGTTTGAGCACTATGAATAAAGTAGCTGTAAACATCCAGTTCAGATCTTAGTGTAGATATAAGCTTTATATTCATTTGAGTAAATTTCAAGCAGCATGATTGCTGAATTTTTTGGTGATAGTAGTTTTGTAAGAAATTGCCAAAATGTCTTCCGAATTGGCCGTACCATCTTGCATCCCACCTGTAATGAATGAGAATTGCTGTCACTCCACAGCCTCACTAGTTTTTGATACAAATGTTTTGTATTTGGACCATTCTAATAGGTGTTTAAGGGATCTCATTGTTTTAACTTACAGTCCTCCAATGACAGATGACATTGAGCATCTTTCATACTATTTATTTGCCACATATGTATCTTCTGTTTTTTTTTAGTCATTTATTCATATGTGCACACATTGTTTGGGCCATCTCTCCCCACTACAACAGGCCCCCTCCATCTCCCCCCACCCCCTCTCTTCCAGGCAGAACTGTTCTGCCCTCTTCTCCAGTTTTGTTGAAGAGTAGACGTAAGCAATAATAAGAAAGACACAGCATTTTTGCTAGTTGAGATAAGGATACCTATACAGAGAGATTCCTAGCATTGCTTCCATGCACAGTGTATTACAACCTGAATTGATTCATCTTTACCTGACCTCTTCACTACTTCCTAGTCACCTTCCCATATTGACTTCTGTCATTTTAAGGTTACTGTATTAGCTCCTCTGCAGTGGGGACATCAAACACTTTCAAGTTTTGGGTTTCCTACCTATCCCCATTCCTCCCATATGTGCTCTCCCCTTATTTTTTAAAAAATTATTCATTTATTCTCATGTGCATACATTGTTTGGGTCATTTCTCTCCCTGCTCCCTCTCCCACCCCCTCTCCCCCTCACCTCTGGGCAGAACCTATTCTGCCCTTATCTCTAATTTTGTTGAAGAAAAGACAGAAGCATAATAAGGAAGACAAAGTGTTTTTGCTAGTTAAGTTAAGGACAGCTATACATGAATATTCCTATCATTGCTTTTGTGTACACATGTGTATTACAACCCTTGTTGATCCATCTCTGACTGTTCTTTACACTAGTTCCTGATCCCCTTCTTTTGTTAACCTCTGTCACTTTAAGGTTTCTGTATTAGTTCCTCTGGAGTGGGGACATCAAACGCTTTCATGTTTTGGGTTTTCTACCTATTCCTATATCTCCTGTATGTGCTCTTCCCTTGTCCTGTGATCCAAGTCCAACCACATTGCTGCATTTGCCCTAGATCTAAAGTCTGCTTATGAGGGAGAACATGCAATTTTTAGTCTTCTGAGCCTGGCTAACCTCACTCAGAATGATGTTCTCCAGTTACCTGCAAATGATAAGATTTCATTCTTCTTCATGGCTGAGTAAAATTCCATTGTGCACAAGTACCACATTTTCTTAATCCATTCATCAGTAGTGGGGCATCTTGGTTGTTTCAATAACTTGGCTATTGTGACTAGTGCTGCAATAAACATGGGTGTGCAGATGCCTCTGGAGTAACCTGTGTCACATCCTTTGGGTATATCCCCAGGAGTGGGATTGCTGGATCATATGGCAGATCTAAGTTTAGATTTTTAAGAAGCCTCCAGTTCCTGGTCCCCTTTTCCCTAATGTGAGTCAATGCCCTGTATAGCTATCCTTATCTCAACCAGCAAAAACCCTTGTTCCTTCCTATTATTTCTTATACTCTTTCTACAACAAAATTAGAAATAAGGGCAAAATAGTTTCTGCTGGGTATTGAGGGGGTGGGGGGGAGAGGGAGGGGGCGGAGTGGGTGGTAAGGGAGGGGGTGGGGGCAGGGGGGAGAAATGACCCAAGCCTTGTATGCACATATGAATAAAAAAAAAAAAAAAAGAAGCCTCCAAATTTTTTTCCAGAGTGGTTCCATGAGCTTGCATTTC